TTTTCTGTGATAGAAAAGTAGAATGTTCATACAAGATGAAACTGAAAACATTTTGTCACAGTCAATGTTTGATCTTGTTTAATAGAAATAAAGACAGGAAAATTCTCTTCAAAAGACCTTCAGGTTTACTCGTCTTCCCCGAGGTACAGAATGATGCACTTCAGCAGACACTCAGCTTCACCTCACGGCTCTACAGTGCAAACACTACAATACACGAATGGGTACTTGGAGTTACAGTAACTGAGATTTACAGAGGCTTTCAGCTACTACTGGGAAGTATACTGGTTCATGTACTGAACCATTCATACTGGTTCATGCAGTGTACTGGTTCATGCAGTGTACCGGTTCTTGCAGTGTACCGGTTCTTGCAGTGTACTGGTTCATGCAGTGTACCGGTTCTTGCAGTGTACTGGTTCTTGCAGTGTACCGGTTCATGCAGTGTACTGGTTCTTGCAGTGTAACGGTTCATGCAGTGTACTGGTTCTTGCAGTGTACTGGTTCATGCAGTGTACTGGTTCATGCAGTGTACTGGTTCTTGCAGCGTACCGGTTCTTGCAGCGTACCGGTTCTTGCAGTGTACCGGTTCATGCAGAGTACTGGTTCATGCAATGTACTGGTTCTTGCAGTTTAAATGATTATTGATGTGATAATGATCAAGTATGGATGTATGTATCAATACATCACAATTGATCAGGACTTCATTCTGACAACTCTTCCCTTTGTTTCTAATCGCCAGGAATCACGGTTGTGATTCTCAGAAATTCCCCACTGACCTTTAAAAAACAAAAGAGTACATTACATGTTACATTATAACTTTGTGGTGTGTGTTTTTTTTTTTACATCAAGTGTCCAAACATGAATGTTGTGTTGGTGTGGCATCATTTATTTGCAGGTTTCTAATGATAGGGGATAATATCATTAATTATATAAGCAATCACTGACGTATTGCCATTGATTACAAAAGTTGGTATTTCCAGGTATCTGGTTGGCCTCTCCTCTCCCAGGAGTCTTAACTGTTTTTTCTAGCAGTGAATCTTCTGGAGCTTTGGACTTTTGGACCGTCTTCTGCTACCTTTTCCAGAATACCTGCCTTTGTTTCTGAACTGAGAGTCAACCTTGTCTTGTTTAATCTCTACACAGCATTTCCCTTTGCTAACTGCAGTTTTCCAGGCTTTAAGTCACTCACTGAACAACCCTCATGATGAATTTAAGTGTGGTCAGTTCAGTATGTCTGGAGGGCTGATGACATCTTAACAAGTGGCTTAAAGTCTCTAAAGTCCAAGTCCTGCAGGCACACGGGCAGTTGGCATAGATGCAGGGACAGGATAGATCAGGGGTATTCAACTAAAATGTTAAGAGGTCCAGTTAGAGAAATTTTCTTGAAGCAAAGGTCCAGAAGATCATAATGTCTAACTATTTAGTGTGATATATA